TTAATGAAGTCGGCATCTACTGGTATAAGGTTGCTGAAACCAATTTCGGAGCGATGATGTTTACTCGAACAAACCCGTCGTACTGTCTGGTTTCACAACAGTACTGCTTTACTACTACACTACTGCTTTCGCGGAAGCCAACCTTTTTTTCGTATCAATTTCAGAAAACCTGATGTACTTATATTTAAATACACATGTGTATTGTATCAAATGGTACGTAGCACTTTGGTGAAAAAATTCAAAAGCTTTAATGATACATTGAAAGATGTAATAAAATAATCAGAAATAAAGATGGAAGGTTTATACCATTATCGAAGAGTTTACTCTAATAAAACAATAAAATACTGAGTCTCAAAAGAGAAATACTACGGCGTTGTATTACGATTTATTACTATATTACTGTTTTCCAATGCGCCTAAAAATTGAAAGAAAACTACGCAGTCTTTGGCCATTTGAGAAGTATCTAGGTTACCCCGAAACACGAAAAAAAAAAAAGAAAGCGAAACAATTTCGATGTTAACTGAACTTTCATACTCATTGTGTCACTGCTTACGACAGCGGACGTAATGCGGCAGCAAGGCTCCAAGATAGAGGGAGGCTCATCATTAAATATTTGCTTTTCACTTGTTGCGTCATGGAACCGCTTTTTTTATATCCTTGGCATATAAAAGCTGTTGTACAGTATATACACTGTACTCTCATATCGTAGTATTCGTGAAGCTTATTGTTGTTAAAATATTTAATATATTTTCATATTATACCAAGGTGTTTTATTTGTTGTTCTTGAGCAGTGTGCGAACTACTATAAAAGCCTACGACTTCACTTTACTTAAAAATAAATTTTGTAGGGTTTGGTTCAGCAGCATATTTGCAGCTGCAGGACACTGGTCTATAATAAATTGAATAATCGTAACAAAATATGTTTGATTATGCTAGATATTGTTAACCTTTGGGCGCTAGTATCAATTCGCCACATTTTCAGTGGCATGGCTAAAGCTAGCGGGATCTATGAATTCACTAGTAGCAAATGCATTGTTTGCGAAGTCATAAGTCACTCCCTTGTACACCATCAAATAAACGGAGCTATGGTGTACACACAATGAACAGGGACCGAATTCCACGTGGTTTCTTTAAAGACAATGAAGCAGATCAAAGGAACCTTTCCTACAGCCAATAAACGAAATTTAAATAATTGTTATTTTTGCCTATGGCCCTGTTTATTTAAATCAATAATGTATATGTTTAAGTGATAGCTCGAGAGAAATTTCACAAGACCGTATAAAAATTAATTGTTGATTTTTACGTTGTTGAGAAATATCTCGCAAAACAATGTTTTGAAACAGTAGTTATAAACAGTTTGTATATAGTTTTGTAATTTATAGTTGCCCCTAGTTTGATAGCTCATTCATGTGAAACATTTTAACATGTAAATCAACTGTTTGCTAAAAAAAAATTATTATGTTCTCGTCACCTCCTGCCTCTACAATCCGAAGTCCTTCAAAACGATTGGATACCCGTGCGGGGGCAACTTCGCCCATGGCGACAGGTCCAGGTTCGGGCAGCGACCGCGATTCGCCAACCGATCGCCCACTGATCGCCCACTGATCGCCCGCGGATCGCCCACCGCCCCTCCGTCCGGGCGAGGGCGGTCGGTGGGTGGGCTGCGGGTTGCAGCGCCGTGCTGGGTGCCGAGGCCAGATCCGGGAGCGATAAAGACGTCAGAGCGCCAATCAACTGCTTCATTTCCGTTGTGTTAGCTCGTGCGATTTTGTGCCGCGTTTGCCGGAATATTCTAATTTCCTCTCCGTCTTTCATCCGCATTCACCTGGCAGAGCGCAGCACGCGGAGGCACTGCGCTCAGACCCGCGCATCCCATCCCCCACTTAACTGTGGTCCAAAGCGGAGCCGCCAGGCACAGTACATGAAACACTGAATCATTATTTAATATTTCCGGACGCCTCAATTGTTACCATGCTTTTCTCCCGGACGCAACTGTGGTATTTTCCGTCAGTGTAGTACATGGTATATCACGGGAGGTGGCGATGTTCCTCCCCCGATGCAACCCGGATTTTTCCCTCTTCAAGTATCTCCCACCCAGCGGAGCACTGCCTAAGCGGAAAAACATGCTCTATGCGCCCGACTGGTATTCGACCGACGCGACCCTTGCGATAGTGTAAACTGTAGTGCTTGTCACAGTAAAAGGGAGTGAGTATGTGTCGGTGAAGGGCGAGGAGGGAACAAAAACGGAGATTTAGCCAGCCACAGGAATCTTCGCACAATTTATAAATGTTTATATCTCGACTTTGATTGAAGTGAAACTCATGTTACTAGTCTAATCCATGTATTAATAAGACATATTTCATAAACATATATACCCCTATATATAACTTTCACCAAAATCGACATATTAACAACAAAAACCCGGACAATTTCTGTGGCTGGTGAGGTTTACCTTTTTACTGCTCCAATCTATTCAATTAATTATTTTACCCTTACATCCTTAATATATTCTCCTTTTTAATATTTCATTTTCTGCAGTTATGACGGTGGCATTTGGGTTAGTACTCTTAAATTCCCTCGACTTCATTTTTCAAAAATATTCGTTCCTACTTTTTACCTCATAAATAGAAGTCGGTGCTATAATAAATTAATGGTATTATATTCGGACTTTTAACGTTAAGGATCTTGATCAAATGACAATTAGAGCATATTTTCCTCTTTCAATTAATTTTTTAATTATGAATGCCGAATGTTTTGCATCTATAAAACAATGTAAGGATTAATTAAAGAAAGAAAGTAGTCTACAGAAATGGGAATGCCTCTTCCAACCTTCAATACTTCCATTATTGACTTTTATTAAACACCTTGCTTTGGATGGACGTCGATGTCAGAATTCATACCAGAATTCAAATTCCATTTGTGTTATGACGATATGTTGGTGAGAAACCAATTTTGCGAGAGAAGATCAGGTACAGTCATTATCCGAACGAAAAACGAAAAACCAAATGAGAATCCAGTTTTTTAAAATCCCCGTCAGAGCGTAATCAGAATAATGGCAATATCATAAATATAACGCAGAAACATATGAGGTTCTTCACCGAGAGTTCATCATCCCTCTCAACCAGTTAAAATACAATTTACAATATCGACACTGTAGAGAGAAAAACATTCCTTTTAAAGTTACTCAGAAGTAAGGTATATTAAACACTGTTTCATTCAATCAAACTGATTCTCGGTACCTGCACTTTATTCAATTAACAATATTAATTTACGAATTACGTGGCCAATGTGTCAAAGGCAAAGACAAAAATTATCAACAACAATATTTAAGTAGGGAAAAAACTCGCATTTTTGTTACACATCCTTGATTTTGAAGTTGTGATGATGCTTGTAATACGGTTAAATTTGTTGTTGGTCTTCGCTACATTCTTAGAACTACTTCAAACGAACACAAATTCGTACGTAAATAAACTCGATAAGAACGCGTCCATTGCTTGGAAGTTAGGTTCCTGAGGGGAGGGGGGTTCTCGAAGAGACATGTTTCTCAAATTGAGAGACTCGGATTGGATTAAAGGTTTTATTTTAACAAATATCATGCTCCATAGGCGAACCTTTTTTTGAACAATATGTAAATCACGAGAAGAAATTGTGGAGTTTTGGAAGCAAATTGCATGGCTACAGCGAACACTGCCGACAATGGCACGGCTAATTGGAATGCGCACAGGAATACTGGCGAGCCGGTTGATTGTGCCGCCGCTGATTATATTCTCGTTGCGGGCGCGATATTTTCGTCGCTCTATCGGTGTCGCTTCCACGTCGGTGTTCTTGTTGAAAACAAATGCGGAACAACAATAGTTAAATGAAACGCGAATATTTGTGTCTATCCTTTATCACGTGACGATAATATCGCTGCTGTAGTTCATTAACGGCTCACCACGGAGCTTGCGATGGCAGCGTTCTGGGATAAGCTACTATGTAGTGTGTTCGCGCGGGCTTTGCTTTAGTTGCAGCAACATATTCGCGACGCGTGTGGGTGGGCGAATACGCGTATGAATGAGGTTTCCTGAACAATGTACGCGATAGTAGTTATCTGGAGTAATAAGGTTAAATCCGTAATAATTGAAGAGATTTTAGAAATAAAAAGAGGAAATATACATGCTACTGGGTTAGAAGAGTATAATGAATGCCCAGATCCACCCGTTCAGATCGAGCTTTGCCGTTTAGGCATGTTGCTAAACTTTGACATTTGCAGATAACATTGATGTGAATGTTTCAAAACAATGTGAAGTAGTGTGCATATACAAGTTACATGTGAATATTGTTCGCACAATATTTATAATTGAAAGAAATGTTCATTATTATGTTACACAAAATGTTTAATTGCTAATGAATACATTAAGTTGCAATTTTGCACAAGCATTTCCAGCAAATCTACATATGACTGCTTCAGCTAAAACACTACGAATAAGTTGTTATTGTCTAAAATATGGCAACTAGAGAGAAATACGTTCGTTTAAAAGGATAGACACCGCTCTAGGTAATTTAAGTTTGTTAAAAAGAAGGTCAATTCAACGACAGTAAGTACAATAAAAAAAATAATTTCTATTAAAATTTTAATTTTGAAACAATTATAATGATCTATTATTACTCTTGTTTTCGCACTTTTTTTCTTCTGAACCCGGTTCATTTATAGTAACATGACACACAAATTGCATCTGTCGAAACTACACTACAGTCTGTTGAAACGAAGCGTGCCCAAACACTGAGTCCAACAATGCACTAACACTGCCCGTTCTCACGAAAAAAAAACAACTGCTTCGCCTGTACCGCCATCTCCGTGCCTCTCCCGTCGCGACAGCAACGATTACAGAGGGCGAGATTGACTATGCTAATGCTTCTGCGCGGCGACGCGGCCCGATGACCAGCGAGCGAGCGGAGGGGCGGGCGGCGGTGGCGGCCGCCAATAAAAACATCTGGTTTACATACGATCGCCGGCGCACTCATAAATAAGCCGGTGGCCGGGAAACGGGGTCGGCGTCGGAAGAGCGCCGCGGCCATGCAAGCGGTGCCTCTGGCCCGGCGGGCGACAGCCGCGCGCCCTCGCCCGCGCCCGCGCCCGCGTCGCGGACGCCGCCCGGGGAGCACTTACGTGATGAACGGCCGGCCGCTGTGGAAAAGAAACCTGTTAGAGAAGCGCACGTCGATTCACAGCGACAGGCCACGCGCGTGGCAGACACAGCGCGTGGCAAACATAACCAAAAAATAATAGTATGCATATTTTATGAACATTGTATGGATCTGTCTTAAATAGTGATTGGGAAACATGCGAGTGTCCGTCCGTCTCCCCGACCATCTGTCTGTCTGTCTGTCTGTCTGTCTGTCTGTCTGTCTGTCTGCCTGTCTGTCCGTCTGAGTGTCCCACCCTCCATCTGCCTGACACTCCACTTCTCAGTTCCCCTGTCCGTCTGTCGATGTGTCCGTCACTTCGTCTCTGTGTCTGTGCACTTCTATGTATATTAATCAATCAGTCATGATTAGACCAGTTCATTGTTTGAGGCAAGTGAGATGTCATTCTGCCGGTCTCGGGCTGCTGGTGGAGAACTGGATATATTGTTTTCGAATTCTAACAAGATTGTTAACATCTCAAATGAATAAATATGGGAAAAAGTATTTTTGAAACTAGTTTCAGCATTGGAGACGCCATACTGAGCTAGTCATATATATTCCAGTTTTACATCTGCACCGAGGAGAGTACATTCATAAGATTGCCGCCTCGGAGAGCGCCATTAAATAGTTGGCCAGTGACCATCTGATGCCTAGAGAGACAGCACTTATTTCGTTTGATAAGTCTGTAGAAGTGAGTATTTTTTAAAAATCCCCTAAAATTCTTGTATATTAGTGCATGAAGGTGAAACAAAATCAAGAGAAAGAGGATTAATACACATTTATTTTAGATAAATGTCTCTAAGCCCACTATCCACTTTGCTTACATTAGAGAGATATTTCCAGACAGCCAAACAAGATGATCCGAGAATCACTAATAAGATTCTAACTTACATTGGTGTCTTATTCTGTTACTGCTTGGATTGAACTTCGAATTACTGCTACTACTTTCTTATTTTGTGTTTCGTTAATCATTTGTCGGTCTTTCTCCTGTGAAGATCAGCAGATATTAACTACTTGAACTACTTGAACTCACACTTCTCGTAACTTATTCTACACAAGCACATTTACGATTCAGGGCGAATTTGTGCAACCGACCGCGCGTGTTTGTTTCCTGTATTAACAATTGCTTCTTCAAATATTTATAATCCCACCGCAAAAGTTTGTGAAGAGAAATTGCTCCATTATTTTCTGAACTTAGTTACCGAACAGGTTCTTAATCTGAAAGGTACAAGTTTTACGCTCTCCTGTACGCTACTTATAAGTTTGATAAACTACTCTTCGTGTTCAGTTTCCCAGCGATCGATTAAGGAAGAAGTTGTCCCGAAACACCTGTTCCAAATGTAAACGTTATTTATGAAATATTTACTTTTTGTTTCACAATCTCTGAAATTACGATAGTTTCTCTATTTTCTGTATATTTTTTATCATTCACCGCAGCACCGCTAAATCCGCATCAAGTTATTTCCACGATTCTAGTTACAGGATTACAAGCGAAGATGAAACCATGTGCTCCAACGCAGCAACATATTCGCGAAATGAATGAGTGCGTCGGCTTCCGCGGCCGGAGTCAATAGATACTTGGCCGACCGGAAGACGCGGCCTAGGTCTAGTTGACAACGTTTCGGCCGTCGTACGGCGACATTCCTCAGTATTATCAAGTAACCGAAAGTATAGTATCTACATTTGAGTTATAGCGCACTGCAAAGGAAGTATTATTTATTACTATGGGAGTGCCTAAGCCTCATGGCGGTAAATGGAATGTGTGAAAAATTGGATTGATGATTATGACGGTTTGATACGAGTGATGAAGTGAAGATGGAGTGAGTCACGGGAAACGGAAGAAGCCCTAGAAATCAGGCCGCGCAGCCTCCCCACCCGCAACAAATTCCAGGGAGGTTGACAGGGCTTTGAAACGCGGCCCCACCTATGGATGGTCAGAGGTCGGACCGCTACAACAAGAGTCGCCCCACAAAGCACTTACAGATTTACCACGTACAATGTCGGCCTGAGTAGCCGAGTTCGCTCAAGCTGGAGCGAGGTGAACTCGGTTGGAATGGTCGCAGGTTCTAATCCTGCCTAGGATATTGATGTGTGTACTTGATTTTGTGTGTTTGTGAGGTAGGATAAAAGGAGACGCTAACAATTATTACATTACTACAAGCATCTACTGGCAGCTGTAGTGGTACAATTATTTTAGGCTCTCAGATCCATTTTTCGGGACCATGTATTACTGGTTCAGACTATGGAAAACGGGTGTATCGCCAAGTACCAAACTTCGAATAGCATTCCATTGCAATATTCCATCATTCAAACATTTTACATTCCATGTAATACATGTGAATTAAGACGTAACAATTTAATAATAATAATAATAATAATAATAATAATAATAATAATAATAATAATAATAATATGAAGAAACAGTTACTGCATTGTAGCATAACTGTACAGACCAGTTTCAAGCAACTCCATGACACAGTAATCAACACGATACACTGAAATCTGTGACATAATGTGATCAAAAAATCAAACGCCAAAATTAAAATGCTCCGGGATTTCATATTGCTGAAAGATAATCGTTTGGATCATAACCAGTGCTTGATATATAAAATTTTAGGTTCCGGAACGCTCCCGACATTAATTATTAATTTAATAGAAATAGTTGTATATTCAATATATAATTATTTCCGAGGTGCCGGAACGGCGTACCGCCGCGTTCCGTCAGAAACCAAGTCCTGGTCACAACATACCAGATGTCACCGTCGATGGAGTGAAATGGTCGCGTTCATTCCAGAGAGGATCAAAAGAGATCGAAATTGAAACAAAATATCGAGATCCTCCAGACAGTGCTGGAATGACTGTAAAAATACAAGGTAGAAATATTTGAGAATCTCAGAACATGGGTGGGAACAGATGGCAGGAGACCGAAATTATAGTATCGCAAAACCTAGCATATTAAGACTATGTTTTCCTCCCGCGTCCTTCAACAGCGACTACTACAAGCGGCAGCATCAATGCTGCCCCGGTAGTTGCCCCGGCCGGCGAGCGCAACGGAGGCCCATCGAATCCAAACAGGGTTTTGCGCAGAGCCGCAGTCGGCGGGTGGCGGAGACTGCTCTCTCTCCTGTCGGACACAGCTTTGCTGGCTGCACGGAAACTGGAACGGCGCTGCGCTCGGCGCCGCGTCGCGCTGTAAGCGGATTATCCCGCGGGACTAACTATAGGGAGCGGTTCTCCTTGTGGTGCGCGCGGCACCACGCAGTCGGCGCGGCGGCCCCGCCCCCGCCATAGGCTGCGAGG